TTTTTGTTGTTATTTTGCCTGTATATGTAATCGAGCAGAAGGTACTGAGTTTTTTCTCTGGTGGTGGAAATACTAATTTCAGGGCTTTCTTGTGTAGTTTTTGATTTAACATTTGATTAATTGTTTGTTCGTTGTATCCGTTGTTTACTGCTATCTGCTTAATTATATTTAATTCTGTCTCAAAGTTGTATTTTGACATCGGAATTTCTGTTAATCTATGTAACATACTATGATAAGCTGCCAGTTTATGTTGTGTTGGATGGGATGACGAATTGTGTATAGTCGTGTCAGTATGGGTAGGTTTATGAAATATGGAGAAGTCATGTTTGTTTTGAAGTCTGCTAATTTTTAAATCTAAAAAATTTATGGATTGATTTTGTTCTGTTTCTATTGTAAATTCAATATGACTATGAAGTGAATTAATATATGATAAAAATTGGTCCAGTTGCCTGTTAGTTCCTGTGAAACATACCAGTACGTCGTCTACGTATCTCCACCAATATAAAAACTGTTTGAATACGGGATGTTTTGAAATCTTTGTCTCTAGATGATACATAAAAATATCTGATAGCAATGGGCTTAGAGGATTACCCATTATAAGTCCTGCACTGTTATAACAACCTAGGCAAATATATTAAAAATAACAAGAGCCAAAATAAAAAACACTTAAATAGTGGTGTGTACAAACTTGAATGTGGCGACTGCCCAAAAACATCGGTCAAACTGGTAGAAACTTTGATAAACGAATGGCAGAACATAAAAGGGCTTTCAAGAATAGAAAAACAGATTCGACATACGCACTTCACCTTCTAGATCATAATCATTCTTTTAATGACAAATTTAAAATTCTTCACATTCAAAATAAAGGCCTTAATCTATCTTTGTTAGAATCTATGGAAATCAACAAATTAAAAAACACAGATATAATTCTGAATGACCAACTTGAGACAAACAGTTCTCCCCTCCTTAACCTATTTCATTATAGACTATAAATTTGTAAACCCAAGCCAAAATAGATCACTTGAGAAAGGCAATCAGCCGAAACAGCTGTAGTGATAATATTTAAAATAAATTTTGTGGAAGTTTGAAAACAAAGTTTTCAGTGTTTTATTGTTATATATATTTTGTTATATTATAAGTTAATATTTTGTGTTTTATAATGTTATTGTTGAGTTATTTACTGGGCGTGTTATTTTTTTATATTTTATAGTGTGTAGTAAACTCATACTATCCAAATCAAAGTATTTATGTATCAAATCTAAAAATAAGTTCTGGTAATCACTTGTTTAATGGTAAGTAAAGCCAACATTTTAATTTATTGATGTTTCGAAAAGTTTTATTTCCCTTTCTGGACTCATACAGAATGCAATTTCATAACTTTACCTATACTTTCGATGACGTTGGTTCTATTACAATACATATTATTTTCCATAATCTCTTCATAGATTTCCGGCAAGAATACGACAGTATTAAAAGGGATCAGATGTGGAACTTTCAGTTCCAAAAAATCTTATCCTGCTTGTTAAGTTATGTGTGAATAGCTGTAGATCCAGAGTACGGATAGGTAACAAACTCTCAGAATCTTTCGAAATAAGCAATGGCCTGAAACAAGGAGATGCGCTATTACCTCTCCTTTTTAAAATCATCAAGGAGAAAGTAGTAAGAGCAGCACAACTTAAATCAGAATTACTGACAGTAAATGGACCAAAATTACTACTAGCATACGCAGATGAGATTGATATTGTGGGAAAAACTGTCACCCATGTGAAGGAGACTTTTAATAAATTAGAGGTAGAGGCAAAGAAAACTGGTTTAAGGGTAAACGAAGAGAAAACCAAATAATGTGCATCAACAGACAAAAGGGACGAGATAGAAAAGGGCAAAATGTTACAATAGACCCATATAACTTTGAAAGAGTGGAGAGTGTTAAATATCTTGGAGCAACAATCACTGCAGATAATGATATCGCGGAAGAGATTATAGAAAGAATTCAGGTAGCAAACAGATATATGTACAACCTCCACAATACTATTAAATCTAAAAGTCTAACACGAACATCAAAGATTAAAATATATAAAACGGTGATTAGACCGGTGCTCATGTATGGGTGTGAGACGTGGACCCTGACCAAAGAAACTGAAAGAAAACTTAGGTGTTTTGAGAGAAAAATCCTCAGAAGAATCTTTTTGCCTTATCACGACATTAATAGCAACCGATACCGAATGAGAATGAGATCAATCAGATGTATAGAGCGAGCGACATAGTCCAAGAGATTAAATCCTAACGTCTAAGATGGGCTGGCCATGTCCATAGACTCCCTAATAACCACCCTGTCAAGTTAATATGGGAGGAAGCCCCACAGGAAGAAGGTCCTTAGGACGTCCACGAATGCGATGGAGAGACAATATATGGTCAGATCTAAGAACAATGGAGCTACCCACTGACCCAACTAGTATGGATGACCGTTCAAGATGGAAACAAGTTGTGCAGTCAGCCGACACCCCGGATTCTAGTGCTAGTAGAAAAAGAAGGAGAATATTATTTTCCTCCAAACTATTTTGGCTTTGTCTAAATCAAGTTATTAAAGATAAATAGGACAAGAAAAATGATAAGGACTGATACAGCAGACGAACTCCTTTGGATTGATGTAACCCTCAGTCCATCTAAAAAAGACCAGTAGAGGAACATTTTAAAGTTAAAACGAAAAAAATGATCATAAATGTATTTAAAACGGAAATGAAGGAAAACTCTACAAGTCGAAAAGAACGATTTCTATTAGAGTCGCAGATAAAACAGGTAATGATATTGTTTCTCCATTATTTTAGAATGCGCGTTTTCACTTTATTTAATAAGTATTGTTACTTTCTATAAGAAGAAGAAGAATCCACGAATTTTTTTTTTCGAGATGAAGTGTCCACAATAGATAAGTTCTGATGACTGTTAATGAAGATTTTTGCCTAATTTCAAGTTTCAACGTCGTCAGCGAAACAGCATTTTGATGGACAGAGATGAAATTGTCTTGTCGAGACGAGAATTTCTGATTAAAATAAAGTCCTATAAAAATGAAAAACGCAAAATTTATTACTTAGACGAGACTTGGTTAAACGCTGGAAACACCAAGTCCAAAGTATGTGTTGAAATTTCGGTAACATCTAATAACCAAGCGTTTTTAGATAGACTTTTTTCGAGGTTAAAAAATCTTACTGGTAAATGTTATATATGTGCTTTATCACTTCAAGTCAATTTTAAAATAACCAAATTTTTAGGAAAAGGAAAGGGACTAATAACTTGTCACATTGGCAGTGAAGATGGGTTTGTTCCAGAAGCACTGTGGGTATTCGAATAAAAAAAAGTGGTGACTACCATGAAGAGATGGACGAGAAATCTTTCGAAAACTGGATCACAAACACTGAACCGAGTTTAATCACTAATTGGTCCATTAATTTGTAATCTCACATTAATCTGAATTTCCTGGATTTGTATAATCCCACCGTTTATAACTGTGAAACATTTCGAGTAGTAGCTTAATTACAATTTCTTCAACTTCCTGCAAACTATATATTGCCCAATATTTATCGAGGAAATGCCTGCAATCATTTCTTCGGTTCAAATTATATTTGCCAGCTTTAAAAAGTCAAAGGTTTTTTTTCTATGCAAAGGGCAATACATTTATTTGATAAATCTAGCATTTTAGTGATGTTATAAATATAGCTTCAGTTGTTCAGTCGGTTATAAATATACTAGTTTGGGACGCAGTCTATTATAATTTTTTTCCTATAAACTATATAAAACAATAACTATAGTACAATAATCCAGTAGCTGTCAATAAAACTATATTTGACTCCACGACTTCAACATTGTATTTTACCATCATCGATCGAGAAGAATCGCTTCTAGAAAGGCTTATATCCAAGCGTAGTTGAGATAAAAAAATATGGGATTTGAAGATTCAACCTTAAAAGTGCAACATAAGGGACAATATGACCAATACATTATTGATGAGATGGCAAAAAGCCAAAGCAAAATAGTTTAAAGACTACCTCCATACCATTGTGAACTCAATCCGATTGAACTCATCAGGGCAGAATTGAAAAATTATGTAGCAGCCGAAAACAATACTTTTAAGTTTGTAGACAAGAAAAATATTTTTTATGATGCAATAAATAATATTACTTCAACTACGTGGCATATACATATTTTTATGTATGTGTACAACACGTTGAACAAAACATAATAGATACCCATATTAAACCAATAATAATAAATCCAAACGAAGAAAGCAGCATATGTATCTCCTCATACACTGAATAATTTAAATGGTATGTTTTTATGTTTTGAAAAACTTATGATGATGCTAATTCATTCAAAATACTTTGTTATGCATATCTTAGTTAATCAATAGTTTATTTTATCACATTTTTCTTTATTGGAAATATTACTCACAGTTAAACTTCAAGAAATTCTTACATTCTTAGTTTCAAGAAGTAAATGTTTTTAAAAATCATATGATACACCTCAGTACGACCCTGTTTGGCTTTCACGTGCAATTATTTACTGCTGGGAATATGTAATATGAATGAACTGTATACTTTATACCAAACTAATTAGATGAAAAAGGACGATAAGTATCCATCGTTTAGATAATTTTATGAACAACAATTTTCTCTTATATATCAAGAATTCTTCTTAATCTTTTCTATCTGACTTTGTTGTTTTTCATATATATTTATTGTTTTTTACAAACCTGATGATGATAAAATAAGTTTTTATAAACAACTCTACACATTTCGAATAATTTGAAAAAAACCAGATCTGGAGTCGTTTCCAACATTAATATCACTTTAGACACATCGTTAGTTTGTTTAGACTTGAGTTAATAATAAATACAAGCATTTTCGGAACACACATTGTACTCACTGTACAGAAACTAATTATTTATAAGTTTTTGTTATTACTAGCGCATTCGCAAACCATGCAAACAAGAATTTTATAACAATTACCTGGAAATAAAAATCTACCAAGGCAACCTAGTCCTGAAGGAGCGGCTAGCAATACATAAGTAACAATAAATAATGAGTATATTACTTAAAATGTTATCTACGAATTGAGTTGGATAAAGAAACTGAAGATACTTTAAAAATAAAGCAATTTTTGTTCTCTCATTGATTATCTTATCTTTATATGAAGCGTGTAAAAGCAAAATCAAACATTTGACATGTTTAAAAAAAATAGTTATATATGGATTCCATATGTAAACATTGATAGAAATCCGTTTTTCTGACACTTATGTTCATAAACAGACATTTAAATGGCATTATTCACAGTTGAAATTTAGCCTTAAAAGCAAAAGCAGACATTTTTGTACATTTGTTAGGTGCAGAGGCAGACATTTGCCGGATGCGACTTCTTAGTCACGTGCTGTAGTGTTTGCGCTGTTTCGTATTGTCACTCGTATTTCGTTAATACTTTGTACTCATATTGAGACCAAACGTGGGAAATATACGTTATGAATTAGTGCTCATTAAAACAAACAATAATTAAACATAGTAAAAATGAATAACATTATTTTTGAATCAAGTCCAGCTGGTAAAGGGTGAAAACTATTTGTAAATAAAGATCAGTGAAAACGAGAAATAACAAAAAAACAAAGGTATGATCACATTGAAGTTTTTGTTTAACAACTGATCGGATTATATCATTTTACTTTTTTAGGTATTCTCGGCGATGCCTTCCTGAATTTCCCAGGTGTGCTCATAACACTAAAGTTCATCAATATTCCTCGTTGACAATGGCCGATATCAGAAAATTCAACGAAAGCTTTTATAGCAAACCATCGAAATCCTACCAAGACATGTTTGTATTGAAGCACTGCGTGATAAATAATCCAAAGAGACCTGGTACGAAAACTAAAGAAAACGTTTTAAATAAACCAAAAAAGGTCAGTGTGAAGTACACCATCAACACGTCAAGAGGATCAATTCCTGTTTATAAAAAACATTCGTAGCGATACTGGGTATTGAAAAACCGAATTGAAAGGATATTAAAGGAGTATCATAAAACCGGCGGAGGAGTTTTGCCAGCAGAAAGAAGAGGAGGTGACTGAACTTCACAAAAATCAATTTGTAAAAAGCAAGCTACAGCACATTTCAATGAATCTATTACTTGCTGCGAAACTCATTATGCCAGGTATAAAACAGTTGTTAGAGGATATTTGCCATGTGAACTAAATATATCGAAACTGTGGAAGATGTATAATTCTAAAACGGAGGAACATCTAAAAGTAAGACAGTGTTTCTTCAGAGATATTTTTTTACGACAATACAACATTGGTTTTGGAGCACAAAAAGTTGATGTATGTTCACAATATCTCCAATTTTCAGAAAAAATAAAAACAAATCACAAACCCACAAGAAAAAATAAAGATAATGACAGAATAGCGCGTACACAAACTGCATAGTAAAGCGTTTGATGAGTTATTAAGAGAAGACAATCGCACAGTAGAAATATTTTCCTTTAATTGCCAAAAGAATCTACCAGTACCAATTATTCCAGACCAGGCTTGCGACTTTAGTATGCAAATAAATTTGTACAATTTTACAGCTGTAACTGGAAATTCAAAGTCCTCACTTAATCCTGAATCAGTAAAATAATTTATATGGACAGAAAAAGATCGCCAGACGAGTTCAAATAAGATTGTTTCCGCTGTTGACAAACTTTCATTTTGATGAAGGGCTAGAGAAAGTGCGTTTAGTGGCTGATGGTTGTGGAGGCCAGAATAAGAATACCACAAGGGTTGGAATGGTTCAATACTGGCTACAATGCTGTGCTCCACATCATATAAAGTATATAGAACTTGTAGATCCCATAGTAGGTCATTCTTTCCTTCCACCTGATCGAGTATTTGCTCAAATTGAAAGAAAAGTTAAGAAATGTGCTACCATAATTGATCCAGAGACATATATGAATTTTATTAAAGATTATTCTATAGTGCTGAAGATGGGAGATTACACAGTTTTTGACTGGAAAAGTGAGGTGCAAGAAGTTCTTAAAAGTCCTGGATCCTGACATTTTCGTTTTCAACTATCTAAACGATTATTATTTTCAAAAACAAGAAAGGCTGTGTTTATGTCACAGGCGAACCATTTTATAAAAATGTGCTTTCTTAAGCCCAAAAGCATCTGCAAGAAAGGAAAGAATATTAGTCAAATCCAGTTACAGCCATTGAGTGTAGGGAGATGTGGGACGGCCGATGAACGACTTTATTTCTTTACAAAAGCTTTTAACTACTTGGAAAATACTAACCAGGCGGAAAATCATCCTGAGAATACGGAAGATCATCCTGAAGGTACAGAAGACGAAAGTATGATTAATTCATCTGATACCGAAGATATTAACTTAATAATTTAGTTTTTGTTTATAAATATATTCAGTAAAAGCAACATTTTTCAAATTTAGATTTATTTTATTACGATCCTTTTTTTGTTAGTATCACACACGAACACGAAGCTATCAATGTTACAAGAAATACAAAATTAGTTGAGGTTCATTTAGATGCAACTCTCACGTGCAAAACAAGACATGTCTAATTTTTGAACCAAAATATTTTTTTATTAAGAAGTCTAATTTATGTTTAGATTAGTAGTAACTATATTTATCAAAAATAGAAAATTTTGGTTAAAACACAATGTTCATTGGTGTCAAATTACGATTTTGGTAGGTTTTTTTGCGATTTACTCAAAACAACTTATAGGTCAAATGTCTGGTTTTGCATTTATACGCTTCATATATCTTTAGCCCTCATAGCATTTAGTACATTTCATTTTATTTCTACATAGATCTTATTGTGTCTATTAATTCTTCTAATAATTCAATATTTTTACTTTATACTTAGAAGCATTTTATGTAATATTTAATAACTAAACTCTTCAGTTTAATTTCCCAAACCAAAACCGTTAATTTAACAGTAAAAACAATTGAAGCTTGGGTATATACAATGCATAAAACATACTTACTAACTGGTAATGGGGATTTACATTCAGCACATAGGTATCTCTGAGCAGAAAGTCCCAATTCAGGGCATATATCATAGTCAAAACATCCTTTTTCGCTAGCTATGACATGAGCACATTCTCTGACAATAGATGCTAGACACTTATGATGACAGGCATATTCGCAGTCTTCACATTCATACCATGCCTGGACTACACTCCTAAAAATAGATTAAATGGAAAAATAATTTATTCGGGCCTAGTAACTAATATATGTTAACAATACATTCAGAATGTTGAAAATACCTTTCGCTTTTAGCTACCCCTCCCTTCCATTAATAAACAGCTTTATTTCAATTATAATAAACAAAATGTATAGTAGCCTCGGAATTCGGCTACATAATTTAAACCGAAAATAACAAAATTAAGTTTGGCAACGTTGTGGTAAGAACAAGACTTGTGTTGTCTATCCCAGAACACTTAGTGTTCTGGGATATCAACAGGACCGTATTATGCGAAATTATCTAAATTATTTTCTTACAATGATTTATCAATGTTGCTCCAATTAAAATAAAAAAGTTATCATTTTAAATAGAAAAGCATGTATATGTACATTTTCCCTGTTACATCAAATTAAAAAATCTGGAAAGTCATATAAGTATAAAATATAGAAATATATTAAACCAAGTATAAATACTAGTTAAATTAGTTATGTTGGCAAATATTTAGTTTGTTCATTTTCCACCCTCATTATGGGAGAGCCTTGTACCTTGGGCCAGCTTGTACCATGAGCCACCCCATTTTTTTAATTTGGGGCGCGAACTCTCTCTGTTTCTCATGTCAAGCTCTTCTACAATCGTCGTCATTCTGTGGTTAGTTGTTGAACGTCACCAGAAATCATTTGCAGCTCTCTTAAAAATATAGTGAATTATTTTGTGAAAAGTAGGTATTTATAGGATAGATAATTTTCTTTTTAAATATTTATGTATAAACATATATGGTAAATTAAATCACAGGGTGTGTATGCTTATTCTAACAGGTACTTATAGTATGGTATAGTAAGAAATATAACAAAACAGTTTTTTAGGTTAAATCCATATTTGTTTTCTTTTCGGCCGAGTCTTGTACCTTTGACCACTATCACGTCTTGTAGGTGGATAAATAAAAAGAGGTACAAACAGTTCTTTTTTCTTTACAGATGCCTAGAAGCAAAACCGGCGTAAAAAGAGCTCCGACAGATTATGAAAACCTATTAAAAGCATACGATGCAATTCAAGAAAAGCAAATATGGTCCGATTAGCTGCAAAGGAATTCCATGTGTCACGGACGAAACTTCAAAGATTTTTGGTCCGTGGTCCCAAACAATTATGGTGCTTGCGCAGTCCGGAAAGTATTTTCCATTGATGAGGAGAACGACTTATATCAGTTTAACTCAAGCGAGTCACATGCATTATGGACTTTTACGTCGCTCTTTACAAACTTTAGCATTTGAATATGCTAAAGCCAACAATAAACCAGTTCCACCGTCCTGGAATAATAATTATCGGAAAACAGTGGTTCTTTGACTTTATGAGTCGCCATAAGTAACTTAGTTTAAAAAAGCCACAATCCACTAGCCTATCTCGCGAAACCAGCTTCAACAAACACAATGTCTCATTATTTTTTCAAAATTAAAAGAAGTCATGAATCACACCCTTTCACACCCAGTAACATATACAATATTAATGAGAGTGGTAACATTACTGTTCACGGAAAAATTGTAGCTTGCAAGGGTATTAAACAAGTTGGTTCCGTTACAAGTGGAGAAAGGGGTACTAATGTAACATTTATCGCTGCTATAAGTGCTTCAGGTAATGCTATCCCCTCTATGTACATATCTTCCAGAGTGAATTTTAAGCCCTATATGCTGAAAGGTGCACTTGCTGATTCGGTGGGAACGGCTCTCTTAGTGGATGTCCAATGGAGTCATATTCTTAGAATATTTAAGGGATTTTATACATTACACAAAGCCTTCCGTCGATGATAAAATATTAGTAATATTAGACAATCATGAAAGTCATATTACCCACGAAATCATTAACTTAGCTAAAAAACATGGGATCGTAAAATTTACTATTTCACCTCATACGAGCCATAAGCTTCAACCCCTCGATCGCAGTGTTTTTGGCCCATATAAAACTTATTATAACAACGCGTGCACCTAATGGATGATAAGAAACCCAGAAAAACTAATATCTATTTACGATGTCGCTGAAATTTTGGCATATAACATATGTCAGGCATATAAACTAGCATTTAATCGCACAAATATTGAATCTTGTTTCAGAGTTTCAGGGATCTGGCCAGTGAATGAAAATGTATTTCAAGAACACGAGTTTTATAGTTCTTCGGTCACTGATAGAGATAATCCTGCTAATATCAATGAAGACATTTATTTCAGACCCCCTATTAATAATCATAAAATAACTGCAGAGGCTGAAGAACCTGAGCTACCATACAAGAACAAACATACAGAAAGGTCGTAAAAAAGCCTCTCCTACGAGTTCAATGACATTTTTCCCCCTTGTGGCTATAATGTTTTTTACTTCTTCTGCAATTAATTGGACAACAGCCAATGAAAATTTACGCAGCCATATACTTTCTTTTTATATTTCTTATTAATTCTATTGGATTTATTATACAAACATTCAGAAATGAAGAAGTTAATTGTTTTTACGTATTCAACCAATTATCTGGCTAAATAGGTCTTGAACCTAAGGCAAAAAAAATAATATACAAACATAAGGAGGTAGTCTAAGCACGGTATGCTTATTATTGAGGGCACAGTCATCAACAATATATTTCTTTTGAAATGGCTTACTTTAAGTAATAATAATTGCTTTTTCGTATATATCTCTTCAAAATACAAATATCCCGCATATATAAATTTTTGGGATTTGGGATTTGTTCCAAGTAGAATTCGGTATTTTTTAAATTAAGCTGGAATGGTGTGAACCGTTGTCCATGACAATTACGCTGTTTTGGACAGTTTTGAGAGAAGAGTTTTTTCAAACCAAGACTCAAAAATACCACTATATATCTATATCATCGTGGTAGTCCAATGACGCACCTTTAATTTATTTGGCAGATATCAATAGTACGTCGTTGATCCATCCGTGTTCTCCAACGCAGTGTTAAATAATAATTCTTTTACCTTTACTAGATGGTAGTGCAGCTAAACATTTTTTATTTTTGTTTTTCCAACCTTTTTTACGATGTTATGGGTATCGTACCATATTTCATCCAAATAAGTATATAATGTTTCGTTCCATTTTTCTAAACTCCATTATACTTGGAACATACTCGGTTCGCAAAGAAATTATTCTATTGCTTTCCATGAGTGTCTGACGTTTATCTATAGTTCTATACTTATAATTATTAGCTTTACGGAAAACGCGAATTGTTGCCCAACAAGAAACGATATCTTTTCGAGTCAAAGAGTTTCAATCGTGGGAAAAATGTTGGCTGCATACATTTTGTATATTGTTGTAATTATAGGTTAGTGAATCAAGTGGCTCTCTATTTTTCGAAACTTGCCACTATCTTTTATCTTTTTTTCTTGATGTAACTGTCCCACCTATAATAGCATATACGGATGATTTTGTCACTTTTGTTAAAATAAACAGTTTCTCTAATGGCCTCGACGTTAGTAAGTTCAACACAGTTTTCATCGTTAGAAAGATATTTAAGAGAGAGGGAGAGCGTTCCGCATAGTCGCTCTGTAAATCTTTTAATTGATAAGAATCTTCTTCTATTGGTACTCCAACCTCATGCTCGGAATTATTGTTCTCTCAAGGACGCCACATTTTAAAAGTATCTATCTTCATAACGTCTTTAATTAAAAAAGTTTCACTACAACAGCACACGAAACTCAATCTACTACAGGCTAAGTTTAAAACAGAACTAAATAAATGAAATGAGGTTGAATGCTCGAATAAATGAACTTTGAAAATAAGGCTATTATCGAGCACAAGTTAATTAAATCTAGCCCAAGTACTTTCGCTTAAAATAGCATCTTCAGGGGCATTTCGTCAAAATAAGAACTATCCGGCAAGCGCAGGATGTGGAAACATTAAAACTAACATAAATTATACAAAACACTACACTAAAACGAGGACAAACAGTTTAAAATTACTTCTACGCTACATTCTCTGTCAGTTTCTGGAGGGATAATGGGATTATCCCTGTTTGTCCTCGTTTTAGTGTAGTGTTTTGTATAATTTATGTTAGTTTTAATGTTTCCACATCCTACGCTTGCCGGATAGTTCTTATTTTGACGAAATGCCCCTGAAGATGCTATTTTAAGCGAAAGTACTTGGGCTAGATTTAATTAACTTGTGCTCGATAATAGCCTTATTTTCAAAGAACTAAATAACATTATTTCTTGTTCACAACTGTTAGAGAATGACAAGTGATAATATCAAAACGTGGTATATCTATGACTCATAAACTTTCCAATTCGGGTAAAGTGATTAGCAGACTAAACATTATTATTTATTATTAAATCGTTGCATATACATACAATTACATTCGTAACCGTTATTGTGAGTGTAATTCCGTACCTTTATATTTCCATTTATCGCCGTTATCCGTAATATGATTCAGGGATTAAAAGCTTAAATCACGTCAGCACATTCTGAACAAATTCCATTTGTACTATACAGAATGGGTGCGTACATGGGATACAGTGATATGGTGCATTGCTTTTCACAGATTGTGGAAGTGTTAAACAGATAATTAGAAGTACTTGGATTTAAATGACTTACCATATTGTACCTGTACAATGATCGCAGTACTTTGAAGATGCATGTCTTAGTAATGGTTGAAGATGTAAATGGTGCCCTTTGATGACTCTCTTCGATACACCACTGGAATGATTTCTGGGATGCCTAAATCAAATTTTCCATTAATTGCTCAAACATATGACTAGTTAATATATTTTGTTTATACAGTTTATATTCTTATCATAGCTAATAATCAATAGCTGATATCAATGATTTTACATAAATAATCATAACAAATAATTAGTATTTATTAATACTGCAAATTTCATCTTATCCAATCATGTCAGTAAATCTGCCCAATAGATAATTTGACAATTAAGAGCAATTCAATATTTAGGGATATAATATGTATTATTATTATTATTAAACATAGTAGTACTATGTACCCTTCACAATACTTACAGAGGATCATTCATTGCATCTTTACATTCTTCCAATCGCAGTCGCAATTCTATTAAATGTCTAACCAGCCATTTCCGCTCTTCAGAGCAATGGTCACTTTCTAAAATTAAACTTTTACAGCGAGTTATTGCCTTTAATAGTTCTTCTTCGGTTGCTTCCTAAAACAGAAAGAAAACAAAATAATTCGTCGACCAACAGAATAGAAATAACCCAACATTTAATAATTAGTTTTCTGAACTCTACTTCCACTGGATTAATTAAATATATTAGCCTTAATAAAACGAAACTGAAGAAAATTAGGAAATATTTGTTATACAGAGTAATTTGTTACAATGCGGTTTCTCTAGGTTACATTTGTCTACGATTTAGGAACACACCAAATATTTGATACATTTAATTTGAACACTTCTTCCTATATAAGATTTAGTTACTTAAAGCTGATTTAGTTAGGTCATGTTGTAATTAATATAAGGCAAACTTCTTTCACTGTAAAACTATCCCTTTAGTTAACAATATACAGGGTGGTCCTTGTATATTAGTACAAAGTAAGTAATTGTACAAAAAGAAACCGCAGATTCTACACTTTCAAATATTACGATTTAAGCCAACTTGCTTTAATAAAATGTTGATATTAAAAAAGATACAGGGTGTTAAATTGGAAATTTAAAATTTTATTTTTCGCTAAACTTTCATGTTTGTAAACATTTATGTATAAAAATTTACAACTGTATACTATTCAATATCAGGAATTATAATTTGATACATACTTTGATATAGCTAATAAAGGGCGCCACATATGCCACATACGTGGCATATATTTGTACTTAACTTTTTTGTTCTTCAAGCTATCGGTATTTTTGATAAAAAATATTAAAGATAAATTATTTTAACAAAAAAAAGTTATACTTGTTAATAACTTCAAAACTCAATAGTTTTCGAGGTAATCGCATTTTACAAATCAACTGCGTAATTCTGATTTAACGCAATTACTCCAGGCAATGAAAGCAAAATAAATAAAAACATCAATACTTCTTAATTTTGTTATAAAATACCTTTAATAAAGTTAATAGTTAACGAAATATTAAATAAAATAAATATATCAGCAGGATAATTAATAATAGAATTTGATAAAAAGAACAGAATAAATGGATTTTACATCATTTTACGTTTTATATTAAATTAAAGTCATAATCAAAACATTTTATTTACAAACCAAATTAAGAAATAGTTAAACTAAATAACATTACACTTTTTGTCAAAGTAAGTGTTGGATATGTTCACCATTTTCTTTAATTCATTTGTCAAAACATTCCATAAAATATTGTCTCATATTAAATAGCATCATTGGTTCTAAAGAAACCGCTGCAGTACTTATTATAAGTATTACAAGAAGTATAATAATAGGTATTTTTTTGGATTTTTGTGAATTAAATAATTATATTAATATCTTACCACTTGACCAAGGAATATGACTACCACGAATAATCCAACGTTTAGAAAAGATGTTTTTAAATACTGTTCTCACTCCCCTTTCTCTATATTGTATTGGTGTACCATCTTCAATAAACCAAATATTCAGCCTTAAGTTTGATGGCAATTCTTCCAGTAAATCAATAAAATAATTTTATAAAAAATGTAAATAAATTTCACCATTCAAATTGCAAGGTAATTCGCATATCCGTAAAATATCATTTAAAATTCATGTCCTATGGTTTGGAACCATTGGTAATTATTTTTTACGGATATGCGAATTACCTTACAATTTGAATGTCGAGATTTATTTACATTTTTTATAAAATTATTTTACATATTTATTGGAAGAATTGTTATCAAACTTAAGGCGAAATATGTGGTTTCTACAAGATGATACCTACACCATTACATTACATAGAAAGCGGAATACAACTTTCCTGAACGTTGGATTGTTCGTGGTAGTCATATTCTTGTGGTGAGATATTAATAAAATTATTTAATTCATCAAAATTTCAAAAAATTACTTATTATTATACTTATAACACTTATAATAAATCCTACAGCACTTTCTTTAGAACTAATGATGCTATTCAATATGAGACGATATTTTATGGAATGTATTGACAAATTAAATAAAGAAAATGGTGGACATATTGAACACTTACTTTGACAAAAAGTTTAATATTATTTAGTTTAACTATTTCTTAATTTGGTTTGTAAATAAAATGTTTTGATTATGACTTTAATTTAATACAAAACGTAAAATGTTTGATGTAAAATCCAATTATTCTATTATTTATCAAATCCTATTATTTTATCCTGCTGATATATTTATTTTATTTAATAATTTGTTAACTATTAACTTTATTAAAAGAATTTTATACCAAAATTCATAAGTATTGATGTTTTTTTTTTTAAATTTTCTTTAGTTGCCTGGAGTAATTGCGATAAATCAGAATTATGTAGTTGATTTCTAAAATGCGATCATCTCGAAAACTGTTGAGTTTTAAAGATATTATCAAGTAAAGCATTTTTTTTGTTAAAATAATGTATCTTTAATATTTTTTATTAAAAATACCGGTAACTTAAAGAGCAAAAAAAATTAAGTGCAAATGTATGCCACATATGTGGCATATGTGGCGCCCTCTATCAGCTACATCAAATTATAATTTCTGATATTTAATAGTATCCAGTTGTAAATTTTTGTACATAAATGTTGACAAACATGAAAGTTAAAGCGAAAAACAAAAATTTAAATTTCCACTTTAACACTCTGTATCTTTCTTAATATCAACATTTTATTAAAGCAACTTGACTTAAATCGTAATATTTTAAAGTGTAGAATCTAAGGTTTCTTTTTGTACAATTACTTAAGGACCATCCTGTACAATATAATATAGGTCTTTGATCAGTATAGGCTCTTTAATTAGCTGAATAGAAAAAATAAAAATAGAAAAAAATCGATTAACAACTAGCTGAAAAGGAAGGTACAAAATAAGCCAAACCAAACTTTTTTATTAAAGCAAAGGTTATTATTATTTTTTTTATTTTTCTACGCAGAAGACCGGGGATAGAATCACAGAGTCGGCGAGAACATCTAGATATTTTTAAATAAGTATCTACAGGCTCCTGAATAAAATGAGTACCTAGGGTAAAACAGGTGTAATAATAATTTATTATTATTACAATTTATTTATAATAAATTAATTTATTAAGTTTTTTACTGGACAGTTTTCTCCAAACAGAGCTGGTAGAGTGTCTGGTCGACAGTTTATTGAAAGTTCTCTTTAGTATTTTGGGCACACAGTTAAGAAATTAATGATAATAAGAGGCATAGCACATAGTGTGTGTGATCTTAGTGTGTCCTAAATATAGGTGTGTTAGAACGATTTGAAAAAAACTGTGTACTAATAGCACGTTTTTTTCACGTGTATCTGTTTTTAGCGATCTTAGTTTAGATTGCAACAAAAACCATTCGCGCTCCCACTGACCAATCACTTTTTGTTTAAAAAACGTTTTGAGATTTTTAGATAATCTCTCACGCACTAATTCAGACTTCTCACATATTGTTGCATCAGGAGCACTTCTGTCTGCCTTTTCATTGCCGATAATTCCTATATACGATGGGATCCATATACATTTATGTTGTTCTCTTGGACAATTGGTAGTTCGGTTTTTATTAGCTTCTCTAAAAGATGTTTATATATACAGTAAAACCTCGATATAACGGACTACTTGGGAGTACAGGGTGTCTGTTAAAGTTGAAAGTCCGTTATATAAAAATATCTGTAAAATAAATCAAAAACTTTTTTTTTAAATATGTATGGAGCATATTTAGATATATTATATAAAAAATACAAAATACAAACAAAATTCTATTTAATTGTTTTCGGACGTTCCTCGTGAAGTGACGTTGCTGTTGTTATCGACGCACTTGCTGTCGGTAATCTTGTTTTGAAAAAGGAATCAAGTTTCGTTTTCACTTTTGATGTTTGCTGTTTTTTTTATGATCAACTTTCTAAAATTACGAAAATGCGTAAAATACAGTTGAACTTCGTTATCTGATGAATAATCAATAAATGTTACAAGATCGTCAAAATACGATCTTACTTCTGATAACTTCATTTTGGGCAGTGTTGTTTTGTCGTACTTTTCGCTATCTTTACTTCTATCCTCATTTTTTAGGTTCATACCTTCATCTGCTATTTCACTTTCAATCATGATGTTATACTCAGGGTCACCTTCATCTACTACCAGCCATTATAAAACATCTTCCTCAGCTACGTGTTCTCCGGCATTATTATGTATTGTCCTACAGAAATCAGTAACTTCCAGACCTTCTAAATTTGTGTCTGCATCTTGGGCATCAAACAAATTCTTGCAACCATTTTTTAATGTTTGCTCTTTCACTTGCTGCAGCAAAATTAAAAATTGTTGATTTTAAATTGTAAGACCTTACGTTTTGCAAGGTCCGCTGCACTCTTGTATCTTCTTCAGTATCTCCATCGTGCAATACAACCATTACTTCGTCTAAAAACTTCTGCGATGTACTCGTTTGGTTGCCAAAAGTATACCCTGATCCATGGGTTGAATAAGCGATGTTGTATTTGTTTAGTCAAAAACGAGGTGAACCATCTTCCACTTCTTGGAGCTATAATATGAAACGGACGGATGATGCATCTTTTAAAACTCTAGGCTTACGAGATTTGCCAACCATTACAGGAGTCAATCTATGCGATTCATCGGCGTTAGCACAAAACAGTGCCGATACCCTGTCTTTGCTGATTTTTCTTATAGAATTGTATTTTTCATATTTGGAGGCTTCTGTGCTTTCAGGTAAAGTACGCAATAACAAACCAGTTTCGTCAGCATGATAAATCTGAGATTGTAATAGCATTTCGTTACTGATATGTTCCACTAATTTTTGCCTAAAAATTCCACTTCTTCTTTTGGTGCACTTGAAGCTTCGCCGTAAATTCTTTTATTAATGATTCCGTGTTTTTTGCGAAAGCGCCAGAGCCATCCATCACTTGCTCTGAATGGTATGTTCATATGATTTGCAAATTTAATTTCAGCAGATTTCAATTCGATTGCCCGGACCGGCATCCCACTGAAACATTGTTGGCTGTACCATTTTAAGATTGCTTCTTCCAGTAAACTTTCAGGCCTCAATTTCATTCGTTTTCTGAGGTTGCTGTTAGCACCAAGTGTTGTATGTGCTTTTTCCAGAAAATTTTTGATCCAACTACATAATGAACAATTTTACATAGTTTTCAAAGTGGGTGTTTTTTTTTTCAAAAACAGCATATCAGTTGTCTTTGTAAAGGAGAATTTGAATACTGTAATAGCTGTCCATTCATCTAGCTAGGTTTAAAATGTCTCTATTATTCTGCACACACAGTCTTTTTGTGCTTCTTTAATGTACACACGCAATTGTCTGCATAGAGGCAAGTTTTGAGAGTTTTAGGTAATTTATTTAATACATGTGTTGTTAATTGCATTAATTCCCTAAGACTAGGGTAGAACTGAGTACTATGCCTTGTTGGGTACTGTTTTGAACAGTCTAAAAATATGAATAAATGTTAATTCTTACTTAGAAAGAAAAGTCTTTTGTTAATTGTTGACCAGTTACATCTGAAGCTGTTTTGCTCTGAGAAGAAAAAATTAGAGTTTTCCAGTGTTCACATAAGCCAGACGTTGACTATTTTCTCCATTAATTTTGCCATGGCACATATTAGAGAAATACGCCTGTATGATTCTGGGTTAAGTCAAGACTTTCTGGTTTTTAAAAATGGCAGAATTATGGCTTATGTCCATATAGACGAATATTGCTGCTGTTGCCAATTTTGATTGAAAATTTGCAGTCCTATAGAAGTTATAGAGCTTCTATAGGAAATAAATTTGCATTTATGCAGATTTTTTTAATACTGTGAGAACACCACCTCTAGCATGGTTAAAAAGTATCCTGTCCCAGTTTTAAATTGGTCTCTTATAGACAGATTTCAACAATGAATTCTTGTCTGGACAATTTTCAACAATGATAATCTGTAGAATAGCTAAGTGATGGAAAAATCTATCAGTATTCCATTGTACTATTGAGTTTAATGTAAAAAATGAAATATAAAATAAAAACAGAACTAGGAGGATAGCTGTTAATAAGTGCTGATTTGTGATGACTGTGGTATTTATGTCACTTTCTAATTCAAAGCCCACCTCTCCAAGATAAGAAAATATTTTTTTTGTTCAAGTTAGTTATACTTGCTTTAATTGTTCTTTTTTTTAAATAGACTGGATGAGGAAACCTACTGACCAACCGAACGGTTCAACTGGCCGCTTATACTGATTATATTATTATTATCAGTAAAACAAGAGCACACGAAACATACACAGAGTTAAAAACGCAAACAAAAAGGCTTTAAAAAAAGTGAAAATTTGGTTAACATTATGTTACTGGTACATACAATAAACTATTTGTTATTTCTAATAAATAAATGAAAAATTACATGTCATTGTTTACTTACTACCTTTTTTACTCGTATGCATAACTTTCACACAATCAGTCAAACTATTCTCTTGCACTTTTAGAAAAAATATGATCATCTAGTTTATTATTGTTTAGTTTTTATAGTTAGACAGAATTTCTTTAAGTATCTTTAGTGCTCACTTTGAAACAAACTAAGTATAAAGTTTCATTTTGTTTTTTTCCTACTCATGCTGCAGATACATCCATTTTATAGAATAGAGTAATTACACATATACTCACCTTTTTACATAAAATATCACCTGTTTCCTTTTAATCAACATAAGTTTCCAATCTTTTTGGTACTTAAAAGTCAGCCTGTTTTAACTGATTTAGTTCATAGTAACAAGGAATAGTTTTACCTTAGATTTGTTTTTAAGCAGTTAAAAATAAAAAAATGTCCTTTAATAAATATTTAACCTCAATACAGTAGTTTATTACATTTACTATGCACCAGAATTTAATGTAGCTCACACTGGAATACCATGTTTGAAATTAAAAATGTATACCTTAATGTAAATGACTGAAAATATTTGAATTTTAAATATCATATGCTAATAATCACTGTAATAATTCCGATGGTAAGTACATAAAATATATTATTTTTACAAAAATTAGTGTAAAATTAATGACAATTGTATTCTTTTGTCCTTCATTTATTTTCTACTTTTTAATTAGGAAACATTTTTAAACTCTGAACTATTTTTAATCTCCTTTTACTGATACTATTGAGACAAATATGACCCCTACCTTGTTAAGGGCCAATTTTAACTCTTCAGATGCTAGACTTGCAGGCACTAGGTCACTTTCGATTACATATGTTGATGACACACTAGGATTGTAACTGATATTTTCATTATCACTATTATTATTTATATTAATAGGTTCTGACATGACTAATTACAAATATTGAACATTCTAAGTAAACAATAGAAATGTTCCAAATATAGTTCCAGAGTACACTTATAGTAAAATTAAATTTTACATCAGTGTTAACACAATTATTATTCTCGTTGTAAATAAAACTTTTCAGTGGGGAACATTTAGAATAATTTAATTAGTTAATATAAATTTCACAACCTTAATTGAGTTAGCATAATACCAAAAATACATAATTTGTATAAAAACGTCACGATAATGAGAAAGTAAAACAATAAACATGAAGATAGCTACAGAAAACAGAGTAAACACTTCAAAAATATCAAGCGTTGTTGCCATAGTACATTAAAATAGGCTATAGCATTTTTCATTTAAAGATGCTTGCACGTCACAATTTATCTAAAGTGACGTCACTTATATTTAAAATTTCCAGAACGTCAACCTTAGAGTTCAAATTTTCCTAACACAGCTAATAATACGAAACCCATACGGAACTGCTCGGTCTTTCATAGGCGTCAACATGGTATAATCACATAATAATAAACAATCAGAATGCTCACTCTGCTTGAAAAAATAAGTACGCGAATCTCGTTCGCGCAGACGGAAGCAGCCATGTTTTAAATGGAATCAGTGCTGTTCAGTGACATTTTATCTGGTATGCGTAGACAAATTAGTTTAGTTTATTTACGGCAACTAGAGATAAAATATGTCCTATTTTATTCGTAATTTTAGTTGAAGAAAAGATTAAATAATTCAAAATTTATTAAATTATTAATATCTAAAAATTTAAATATCATTTCTGTCGGAGCTTGTCACAAATTTCTCAATTCGAGTCTATGTTTCCGCCTAAAACATTGCGTGCTGAAAAACTTCAAAGGCGGCATCTGAGAGTGGGTATTCTGATTGTTTCTTATTCTGCGCCTAGACTACATACGGCAGTTTCACGCTGCTCCCGTTCTTCATTATATGCACGAGCTGGTTAATTTTCATCTTCATCACTATTCGTGCGTTTTCTACAATTCTTCTCACATCCAGTTTTTTCAAATTTAAAAATAATGTGAATTGTAAATATTGTTAATATAGGGTATTCGAATGAAAAAAAAAACCGATTATATCGTCGGCACTACTTCCAGAATAATTTCATTTAATAATTTTAATTTTATGTTCAGTTGTAAAGGTTTCCTAACTTGAAATATCAATTTCTTTCTTTAGTTTTTCTGCGAATAAAATCAGAATTATTATACTCCAGTCGTCAGAGACGAAAATGCTACTGAACTTCTAAAAATTATACGAACGAGCTGAATTTTACCGAGAATATTAGTTTACCACTTCCGAAGGGGGTTTTAGGGCTTCCCTCTAAAACACCTTCGTAGGGGGGTAAAAATGCAAAAAAAGGTTTTACCAAGAACCTGTATACCGTAAAAAAATGTTTCAAATAAAAAATATAGCTGAGATAATTTTAAACAAAAATGTTTATAAGCATTTTTTTGCGTAGAATGAATCGTCCTCTTAGAAACAACGCATAAAGCGTCCGTTGATTGTGCATGTCAGTTACGCGCGCGAAATCAATGTTCAATAAAATTTGTGTATGAGCTCGACGGTAAAAATTCGATATCTTTTGATTCAACTGACCTATTGACAAAAATCAAGATGCGTTTTAAAGGTAAAGAGTTCAGATTTTGTAGGCTGTTTTTATATTTTGCCACAAATAAACTCAAATTTTATAAAGGTGTTAAAAAAAATAAAGATGGCGCGATTTTTGCAATTTTTTACGATTCTCACGAGATTAATAGAATTTATTCCTTTAATTGACTGGCCACTATGAAGTTTCGATTACTAGAGCCTAACTTTTAAAATCTACAGCATGAAATTTTAGTTTTGAATTTTGGCAACAAGTGTAAGGCATTTGAAATATGCTTAAAAACGCTGGATTTAAACTTTCACACAACAAACGATCCAAAACATTATTTTTTTTTCAATTACACTAGTACGTTTTTTAAAAGAAAAAACTTCTGCAATAAACTCCACCCAAATCCGTCTTCTCAAATGCATTTTCCGTGATGCGTGATCGTTTGTAATGTAAAACATTAAATTCTGCGTTTCTTATTCATATTTCAAATGCCTCATATTTGTTACCACAACTCAAAATTGAAATTTCATGTCATAGGTTTTAAAAGTTGATCTCTACAAATGGAAATTTTACTACAACTCGTCAATGAAAGTGATAAAATTTATTGATCTCAAGAGAATCGTAAAAAATAGCAAAAATTGCGCCACGTTAATTTATTTATTACCTTTATAAAAACTTAGTTTATTCTCGGCAACATACAAAACTGCATACGAAAGCTGCACCCTTTGACTTTAAAATGCATCTTGATTTTTGTCGATAGGACATTTGGATCAAAAGATATCGAGCTGAGATATATTTTTACCGTCGAGCTGATACAAATTTTATTGAACATTGTTTTCGCGCGCGTAACTGACTTGCAAAATCGACGGTCGCTTCAAGCGTTGTTTCTAAGAAAACGGTTTATGCTACACAAAAAATGCTTATAAACTTAAAATTATCTCAGCTACATTTTTTATTTGAAAAATCTTTTTCTACGATGTACAGATTCTTGGTAAATCGATTTTTTAGGGGGAAGCCCCAAAACCCCATCGGAAGTGGTAAACTTTTTTGCATCTTTTTTGGGGTCCCAAAATGAATATTCTTTGCACAATTCAGATTGTTCGTATGATTTTTAGGGGCCAACTCTCTGATGACTGGACTATTACCAATGAAAAAATAAACGTATATTTGACATTTCTGTTATCAAAACTGAATGTCACTTTGACAAAACTAGAATTCAATCTAATAAAGTGTTAAAAACAAGCTTGTATCTCGGTACTAATTTCATATTATATTCGGTCTCTCTCTGTTAGCAGAACAACCTCTTAATGTTGTTTTCGCACTTATTATGCTTGCTATATCATAAAAATAAAATTGTAGGATACACCATAAAGATTAAAGTTGAAAATCTATAAGAAGACTCAACAAGGTATTTATATAAAAAAAGAAAAGCAAAACAATTCAGCAAACACTTATTAAGTAATAATAATAGTAATAATCCAAAATGACTGACACCAGCAAAGCGGGACTAAAATTAAAGGATCTAAGACTAATGTTTGTATTTTGAGAAAGATTTCCGAAGTGGAAATTGAAAAGACAATAAACGTACTTTAACCTTTATTTCTCGCTTATTCCCATTTAAATAGTAATTACTTTAAAATGCCATAAGAAAATAGCTTCAGAACAATATCTTAGACTCAACCAAAGGAGCTACGGGCAAAAGAAAGATAAATAAAAGCAAGTCACTCCCAAAGCGAAAAACTCCGTGGTTCTGTACAGAGGTAAAGGAAAATACAAAATAGTAAGGAAAAGAAAAAGCTTTGAAGTACATATCAAATAAAACACAACAAGCGTGCGAAGATTACAAGAGAATTAGAAATTAAACACATGCACTTGTAAGAAGAATTAAAAGCGAGCACTAAGAACTTTTTCAAAAAGAACTAGAGTATGATTTTTATGGTTTAAAAAAGAAATATGGCGCTATATAAGAGGTCAAAAAGCGGAGGTGAAGAAACTAACAGACCCGAAACACATCGAAAAGGATGCATGGATTGTCCATCTAAAGAAGTCATATACAAAGGAACAAGAAATGACCACAAAAACCAGAAATTACCAAACACGAAGAAGTTCACATAAGTAAGCACAAAGTATAAAAAACACTTGAAAAACTAAAGAGTAGAAAATATATTTGATGATTTGATGATTGATGGTAAAGATGATTTGTTGAAATATGATCGAGCGGTAATAATGGATCAACTGACAAAGTTAATGAAAAAGATTATAAGTATAAGACACAAGAAAATATCAAAATAATAGAAGACAGACGAGCTAATCGTATTATTCAAAAAGGTCGGTAAGAAATAACCATAAAACTATAGAGGTATCAATTTGCTAAACATTACTCTGAAACTTACGACTAAAATTTTACCAGAATGAATAAATCAGCTCATAAAGTTGTAGCATTTGCAATTCGTTGATTTTTTTGGTGTATATTGAAATCCCCTCGTATATGTAATATATTGAACTCGCCTCATAAATGTTTGAAAAATCGCAGAATATTTTTTAATGTGTTTCAGTTTCTTATTTGTACGTATTAAAACACCGAATTCTTTCAATTTTAAACGCAAATAATATTTCGTTCTTTTCAGCGTCGCCAAGTAATAAAACCATTTTAGAGTTGTTTATTATTTTAAATATGTGTACTTCGGCAATTTCTTTTAATGTTTTATTCGAAGTCGCCTTATAATTTCTGTACGTCGTAGAAATGGAATCTTTAATTTTCGTTGTGTTTTGTTATTTCAGCGTTTGTTTATTTTCAAGTAAAGTGAACGAATTCTTAAGAGAATTTCGTCATTCTTACTTGGGCCGGTGTAGGCTCAGGTATGGATCCCATTATTACTTGGGTCGCGGTAAGCTTAGGTGTGGATAAATTCTTACTTGGGTCGCTGTAGGCTTAGTATGAATCCAAATTCACCATCGAAATTGTAGATTTCTGTTTTTGGCCCCTTTTTGTGGAAATGTGCAGCAGTGGAAAATAAATTGTGTAGTATACCAGAACATGGTAGAATTTTGAAGCAGTATATAGGATGTCCCACCAGCTTTGTTGTCGTTTGCCTGCTTGATCCAACCCCATCTACGTCAGACCTTCATTCCTGAGTATGGAAATGGTTTCCTTTTGTTCCAGTTGAAAGTTTCGTCCTTGCAGCTCCAATCCCAGAGATAGTAGCAAGTCTTTCAAAGTTAAGTGGCAAAGTTTGTGAATTAAAAGGTAACATTATGTGTTCATAGTAAAATAGCTTTTATTTTAAATAACAATAATTGCTTTTATTGAAATTTAAACGATTTATAATAATTAATAAATTATAAAATTTTAGAGTTTGACTTTAGCTGTCAATTTGTGTGTTCAGCTTTTTTTTAATTTATTGTTAACTTATGACAGCACGTTTTATTATTTTTTGGTTTTAGTTTGTTTTATTTTTAAAGAAGGTTAACATATATACCATTTTGAAAGATTTTTTAGCAATCTTCTTTGTAAACAGATGAACAAATAAGTTTTTTCTTTGTATTTGCGTATTTTACAACTATTTATATAGTTTATTTTTTGTGTCATCTGTATTTGTGT